ATCGGTGATAGAGATAATAAACGTGCCCCTTCAGTTTAAAGGGCACGATGGGCAAATTAACAACTAATCTGTTCACTAGTTCATGTACATAGGTTAGATAGTAGGAAATCCTCTAACAAACTTGAAACCATATCTAGTACATAAATTTAGCAACAACAAAACACAGTAAATCCCAGTTGATACACCTTTTGTAAGAAAAAAACTATGATTATCGTATAATTGTGAAGGTACTTGTTAAACACAAGAAAACCCTAATTATTGTCAAAGCACAAATAGTGAATATGCACCGTACCTATGTAAAATACTCCAGTATATTATGTTCCAGCGCTCTCTTTAATGTCTAAACTCGCCAACTATAATAATCCATGAAGTTTGTGCCCTAGCTAGACCGATGAAGAGTCCTCCAGCTGCTTCTTGGATCCTTTCTTTTTAACAATAAAGTCAATGCACTTGTCCTTCAACTCAGGGCAATTGTACATCTCAGCGCAAATTTGAATATCTGTAACTGTATCCATCGACACATTATCCCATAACTTTTGGACACACATAAGTTTTAGCCGGTCTAGCGCGTACCGATCTGCAGCGGCAAGTAAATCAAACAATATCTCATTGGAGGGGTTATCCTGCGTACTAGTGGGAAACTCATCCGTGTATATGAACTGAAGCATACGTTTGAATGTTGAAGGCGTGATATCGTGCAGTGTGATGGATGACATTGTAGCTTCGGCCATGGACCCAAAAAGCTCTGCCTTGAAGACGGGCGAGCGGGCTGCAAGAATGGCTCGGTTCGCCGGGAATGTCTCGCCGTCAACGGTAAACGACACGTCCGTCCCATGTGGCTGATCCAGCAAGCAGCCGAGTTGGTTTCCGATGTCGGAAGGCGGCACGGTGACAGGGGTATCACGCATGACGATGATGGTGCATACAAACGTGATGTGCCCGTCAACAACATAGTTTTCCTCGAGGACCGTTCTGGCCACGAACCGATGATATCCCCAGTCGTCATGCTTTGAAGGGTCGCCCTTGATTTTGAACTTGTGAAGTCCAGTCGTCTTTCGTTCTTCTGACGGGTCGTCGTTTCCGTCCATCAAGAACGCGTCGAAGATTGCATTTACGCTTCTGGAGCTGCTCATGTGCCTAAGGTACAGAGAAACGTAATTTCCAGTGTCCTCGTTGGAGTACTTTTCTGGTCCCCGCGGGTAACAGTCGATCCTCCACAGGTGTTGGCCGACGGAGACGACCTCAGAGGAGACGACATCGTCGACGCTAAGGTGCTTGACTTGCTCGTAGTCTACACTGAACTGGAGGACGGCAGAATCCATCGGAGTCGTCGTGGTGCAGGCCGCCGGCGGCTCTGTGGTTGTGCCTCCCTTGCTCACTGTAGTTACAATCAAATCAAGCAACAGTTAAGTAGACTAGTTCTCAAAACCGAAAGATCCAAAGAAACGTGAGGCCACCCACCGGCTTCCCTGCCGCCACAGGTGGTGGCGGCGATCGGTGGTGAGGGTGAGGCCATCCAAGGCGTTCAGCCGCCGCGGTCGGTGGTGTTGGGTCGCCTGATCGCCGCTCTCGTGGGCTCGCTCCTCGGTGGCTAGGGTTTCGTGCTACTGACCTCCAACGTATTGCTCTTGGTCTCCAGAGTCCTGATGATAACTATATATACGCTGATTGTCGTTAAGATTTTTCTGGGTCTGTTCCCATGTACGTTTAGGCGCAGACTCTTTTGGCCGGCCCATCAAATGCTAATGCTAATTTGGCCGGCCCATTATGCGTCGCTGTATGTTTTTTCTGCGGGGGCTGTAAGCGGAGACTCAATTTTTCTTCTTAAGCTAACGGGTGTCAAGTAGGAAAAAGCCCATGCGACCCCTCCAAGAAAAAAAAAAAGGAAAAGCCTATGCGCTCCATGTCTCTTTTTTCTTTTGAGAAATCTCGCCCACTTTGATATGCAATAATGTTCATCAATACAAGGTTTTGGTCATGGGGTATGCCCAACCAAATATGACGCCCAATACCTAGATTACAACCAAATTTGACGAGATGATGAGCTTCAAAATTGAAAACTCAAAGTTCATGAATAAAACTTCATGAACTAAAAGCACCCTTTCTATCAATGATCTCCCGGATAATAGCTCCATGTCTACCACCAGAGCCTTGCTTTCTGTCATTCACCACCCCTTCACAAGCTGATGCAATGGGAAGTCTTTCTAGATCAAGATCCCCAGCCAATGCCAGGGCTTCTCGTGCTACATATGTTCCAGTATGGTTGGGTTTGTTATACCCCCGAAAACAACTTCCGACGTTTTGATCTCTACATACCGCCGCTACAGCTCCACACTGTCCTTGCCGATTGACTGCCCATCTATGTTCAATTTCATATGATCCTCCAGCGGGGGGAGCCAACGTTGCACTGCAGCAACTCTTGGGACAGGTCCAGTAGCTGCCACCGTACCAACTGGACCCAGCTTCGGCAATGATCTAAGATCCAACATGTAGTTGTTTATGAAGGGATGTGTTTGGTTTGGGCTCTGGAAGATTACTTCATACACCACTTTTCTTCTTACGTACAAAATAGACCATAGTGTCATCACCATCAGCGAGAATTGCTCTTGACTCAAACATTCATGCATATCAAAGTTGACATTCTTGGCATTTGGTTCCTTGTTGTCATCCATATGATCAACAACCTCCTCGCCCGACAAAGCCCAGATGCAACGTGCCATGGTGCAACTTATCAACGCATGCCTCCAAGAATCTTCGCCACCACACATCGGGCATGTATGAACAGTTAACATGTTTCTTTTGTGGAGCACATCAAAGGTAGGCAACGAATGGTGAGCTAGTCTCCACAAGAACACCTTGACCTTTGAAGCAACCAAAAAGTTCCAAATAGATCATGCTTTCTCCTATCTCGTGCTATCAGTAGACCTGCCACTTCTACCCTCTAGCCAATCCTCGCGCTGAGTTTTGGTTTTGATTATCAGTTTGTATGCTGAACTCAGCGAAAATAGGCCCTTTTCCTATCTGGCTGCCACACCGAGAAATCCTCCAAATTCCTAGTGCACACAAGAATTTTCACAATTGCGTTAGCGTCAATAGGCATAAAAATAGTTTGGATGGACTCGTCGTTCCATTGAGGAGTAGCCTATGCGCTCCATGACTAAGCTCCAACCACTGATAACCTTGTTACAGGGCATGGGGAGGAGATTATTTGTGGCGGGTGAGGCATTGTGCCAATTGAATAACTGAGCTCTAGTGAACATGTACACTTCATTGAATAACTGAGCGATGTGAATATATAAAGATGCAAAATGCTATGAAGCATTAGTAATGCGAAAAATTATAGAAAAGTAAGTCCCAGGAATAGTATGAAAGAAAGATGGCAAGATACCCAAAATATAACTCCTATATTTGAATAAATAAAAATTAGGATACCCCAAAGTACAAAAGCTTAAGTGTTGCTGCCCTCATACTACAAACTAAAAGAGTTAGGATGGACCAACTTCCCTGAGGAGAGCTACCACGAGATGAGGATGGAAGAAGAGCTAGCACGACTGATACCACGACCAATACACAATAAACACACAACCCTTCCCTGACATGCCTTTTTTTACATTTCTTTACGTTCATTTTGCTTTGGTTTCTCCCTCTCATTTCTTATTTATAATTATTTTAATTTATTTCTTATTAAATTCTTAAATAATTTCCAAATTTGGAATTCATGATTTATTTTTGGATTCACGAGCATTTTCTCAAATTCATGAACATTTTTATAAATTCAAAATTCTTTTTATTCCACAAAAACATTCCAGATTGTGAACATTTAAAAAATTGAAATTATTTTAGTTCCTGAACATTTTTTGAATCCACGAACTTGCAAATTCTTGAATATTTTGTTAATCCATATTTTTTGAATTCACAATTTTTTCAAATTCATGAATATATTTTCAATCTGCAAACACTTTTTTGAATCCATCATCATTTTTCAAATTTGCTAATATTTTTTGATGCGTGCCTATGGCGTCCGTGCGTTTGGGCCAGCCCATAAATCACGTTATTGCTGCTCCAGTCACTGTTTTGCCTGAAAAAAACACGAGTCTGTGTTCAGGTTAATCTCAAGAAAAAAAAACAGGGAAAAAATTCGCTGCTCAGGTCGTTGGTCCAGTCAGCTTCCCTTTTTCTACTTCTTTCGCTGTCCAACTGTGTGGACTGGTCCGTCTTTGACTGTTACTATAGTGGTTGGGGTGCGCCAGGCGCACCTCTTGAGGCGGGATTGTGCGCTCTAATCTTGTCTACAGCTAGTTGGGTTCCTAACCTAAGCTTGGTCATGCATGTTGGGCTTCTTCAAACTTACCAATATCCAATGCTTAGATTAGGGTGGTTGGCTGGGTCCAGATATAGCTTAGCACAACAGAAATAGTCACAACATTGAGTTTAGAAATGACATCTGACATTAATACAAGAGACCTTCATTGCAGTCACAACATGCATTTAGAAATGACAAACATAATTATAAGCCAAAAGATAATTACAAAGAGGACTTTTAGTAGCAATGATGCAAGCAAATTATCCTCACAATCCTTAATTGCAGCTTATCTGCTGATCCTATAAGAAAGAACATCGACAGGTGTTGCTTCTCGGCTTTATGTTTTTACCTCACACTGATTGGTGCTTGCCACTGTACTTCCTTTGTCATAATCATCATTGTGCTCGTGTATTTTAGAGTCTCTGGTGTGTAGATCATGTAATCCCTGCAAGAAAAGATAGATAATTGCAATATCTGCAATTAACAAAAGGATTTGGCCATGGGCTATCGGTTGGTATAAATATCCACATTACATCATCGACCCTGCAACCAATAGTATCATGCTATCATAACCTTTCCAAGATGCACTATACTTTATGAATCATGATTTCGCAACTGAAAGAGTGGTGCATGAAAAAAACTTAGTTCAAGCATAGAATTAACTAAGATTTAAGCAACAGTAACAAAAGATTGTACACACTACGTCGCCCATCAACAACAGAAGGCAAACAGATAGGAAAATAAATCATGGGAGAAATGTACAAATGGATGGTAGGTATCTATCTCTAGTGTTTTATTAATTATGATAGACGAAAGCATGTGAATACCTCTTTAGGACAAGTATTTTCAGTTGGATTGGCACTTTTTTTTCTATTAACAACCGAAAGCTTCCGCTGCTTTACTTCTGTATCTATGGGTCCAAGCCTACAAGGATTAAGAGTGTGCATGTGCATGGTTTAAGTCATATACCGAGTAGGCACTGCAAAAAAATGTTGAGAACTAATAAGGAGAAAGGAGCTTAATTACATGGTGCAGCATCCAGGTGCAGCCCTCAAGACATGTGAAGCAGAAAGCCCAACATCAACCCAACGCAATGAGACAGGCTCAGAATCAAGGGTTGCTTGCTGCCCAAATTTCTTTAGCAACGCTGTTATGATATCAGAAGGTGTGATTCCTTCACTTGACTGGGAGCTCACATATTTTACCAAGGTGACTGTAATGTCTAGTACAGCCTTTGCATCCGCTATTTGCTCACTGGGTCTCTGCACCGCAGTGTGGAAGAACATCTCATTTTGTGTTTTCTATATAGCATCAATGTTTCAAAGCTATAACCAATAAAATATAGAAGATAATAGAAATTTTATTCTACGGTAAGGGCATGTTCCAGTAGGAGAGGGGTATTTGGATTTTAGTTGGATAGAAATTCTTCAGATTCCGTGTAATCTTTAAAAAAAATCCAAAAACCCTCATCAACACCCCTTCAGCAAACATTTTGACATGGCACAGTGAGCTCAAGGCATGCCAATACTCACCCACGTTTGTGTGGAAATGCAATCTTGCAAACAAACATCCATGCAAAACGTGTTCCAAATGAACATGCAAGAACAACCTGCAGTCTATTTATGATGTATACTATAGAGAGATCTAAAATAAAACAGCGTAGAACTACGAACATGACGTGAAAGTAAATGTATGATCATGCTGCACACTCTACAAGATGCGCCAAGGCTACATGAACAAAGGTTCATATCATTTGCTAGATGGTTTACTTCTAGTGATATCCGCTGGACACCTGTAACGGAATATGTAGGAAAAAGGTAAAGCTCTCCT